TTAACAAAAAATATTCTAATCAAATAATAAACATGGAAAGTAAAAAAAGTTTTAGCTAAAAAAATAAAAAGAAGCAAAAAGAAACTAATAATTTAGAAAGGAAAAAGTATTTGAAAGGTTTAAGTAGATTTTTATCAATTGTTGAAAATTTTTTATAAAGTATTAGAATATTATGAAGAAAAAAGAAGAATTTAAAGATATAATTGAGTTTTTAGTTATATAAGTCAGATTTTTAATAATTATATGACTAATTGTATTGAAGGTAAAAAGTTAATTTAGATAAACTAGAAAATATTAATAGTTGTTTAGCTTATGAATACTACTTATGTGGTGGAGGAGTAAATTATGATGGTAATTATTTTTAAGTTTAGGAAAAACTTTTGAAGAAGAGGAAGAAGAAAAAACATAAATATTTAGATATACCTATTCCAATTAGAAATACAGATGAATGGTATATTCGTTTAAAAATTTAAATAGACTAAATTATTTTCCTTTGACCAAGATTAATCTAAACAAATAATAAAAAAAAAAAATGGAACCAAGATCAAGAGAAACTACTCCTACAAAAGAGGATTTGGATTTTATAGTTGATGATGGATATAAACATGATGTGGATTTAGATTATGTTCCAGATGATGAAAAATATGTTGTTAGTGGAAAAGATTTCAAAAAACTAACCAAAAATGCTATAAAACTCGGTGCTGAATCTCGATTATTCAACACGTAAAAATAACAAATATGTAGCTACACTTCCAAATGGAAAGAAAGTTCATTTTGGATCACCAAAATATTCAGACTATCTTATTCATAAAGATAAAGATAGAAGAGATAAATATCTTGCTCAAAGTACAAAGATAAAGAATAAATCAGGAGAATTAACTTATAATAATCCTGAATCGGCAAACTTTTGGTCTGTTCATTTACTTTGGCCAAAAAAATGATTTAAAAGAATAAAAGATATGATAAAAATGCAGTTATCCAGTTACGAACATCTTACCCAAGACAATATTATTTTTAATGAAGCCAGAGAATTTAAAGTAAAAGATAGCAAGATCAAATACAAACGTATCCCAATTGAAATCAAATATCCAAATGGAAAGAAAGGAGCTTTTGTAATTGAATCTCCAGTTCTTTTCTTTTTGGTGTAAATGAGAAGAAAACCAAGAAACAAATAAGTTAGTAGGATATAGTATGCCAGTATGTCTTTTGGGCTAAAGATAGTGAGCCGAATACTAAAGAAAAAGCATTTTTAGTAATCCTAAACGATGTTGTTTTGAACGTGCCAAAGTCATTTAGAAAGTGAATACGGTGCGGATCTAGCATCATCTCTGTCTTCACCATTTTACTATAAACAGATTGAATATACAGACAAGATAGGAAAAAAAGAAAACAAAAGTTGATGAATCATCCGCACCAGTTCTTTACGCAAGACTTATTTACTCAGAAAAATCAAAGAAAATTTTATCTTTGTTTAAGGAAAGGGGAGGTAAGGATTTAAAATCCTTTTAAATATATTAATCAGTATTGCAATGTTAAATTAGCATTGATAATTGAAGGAATAATTTTATAAGTAAAACTGTTACATCTTTACAAATAAAAGTACATGAGTGTTATGTTAAACCATTAAAACCTAGAGAGTCTTTACTAACAATTGATGAGGAAGAGGAAGAGGAAGATAGTGAAGGTGAATATGTAAAAGATGGTATTGAAGACTTAGTTATTTCGGATAAAGAAGAAACTGAGTAAATAATAGGATTTTATTTTTAATACATTATTTGTATTAAAAATCAACCAAATCCTTAGAACTCACCCATGAGTTAAATTTATCAGGATATCCACCCATTTTACTAATGCCATTTTCTTCCTATTATCCCTCCTGATAATCTTTTCTATTCTAAATGTTTGTTGTTTTTCTTTTTGTAATTCTTTCTCGTAGAAAGAACCCTTAATCTCTTCTCCCATCAAATCAACGATGTTATATGTAACAGGTTTTGTTGGTAGAACTTTATCAATCACAAATATCTCCTCTGTCCAGTTTGGTGTGTAATCTTTATCAAATACCTTTTCTTATACTTAGAAATTCTAACATGATCACCAATTGCAAACTTTGATTTACCAGGTTTTAAGTAAATAGAATCACCATACAAATTAGACCAAACTTTACATTCATTTTTCTTTTTACTTGCTTCAACAGGAGTCATTTTTTATACTAGAATGTCTCGAGTTATTGTAATCATTAACTAGTTCATCTATCTTGTCCCAGTAAACAGTGTTGTTATTTACAGTAAACATCTTCCACATTCTGTTTTTCATTGTTTTATCCCATCGCTCAACAACACTAGATTTTTCTTCGTTTTCAGTGTGATACAAATTGATTCCCTCTCTTTTCAAAAAATCTTTGAAATGTTTACTTATAAACTCAGAACCTTTATCTGTCCATAACATTTGTGGTTTACGTTTACTTTTGAATATATCACCAAATGCTTTACTAACAGTTTCAGTTTTCTTATCTTTCAACCCCTAATCCATCCATACTTGCTAAACACATCAATAACCATCAAAAGATATTTAATCCCTTTGTTCCACTTACTAAACTTTTGTATTTCAACTAAATCAGCAGCCCAGATTTCATCAATCCCGTTTGACACCACTGATCTCTTTTGAAAGTTTCTTGTGATTGGTTTGTGAAGTTCGTCGGCTAATTGTTGAGACCAATCACTACTCAACGCCGACGCGAGTTTAAACCAGGTCCAAGTTTTTGTTTTGTATTTATCATATTTCTAGCAAGAAAGTGACCCCATTGTCGCTTTTTCCAAGGAATTGCATCTAGTGATTTTACCATTTTTTTATCTGCAGTATGTTTGCATTTTAATTGTCCACTTTTAGGTTTATTTCGGCAAATTGTGTAATCAACATCATGTTGCATACTAACTGCATCAGTTGCTCCTGTAGGTTGTTGATAGATTTCTAATATATTTCCCTCATCATCGTGACGAAGTTGATCATGAAGAGGATTTCCAGGTCCAGTATAATTATGGCCTGGTATAGTTAATCCTCTATAAGGTGCAACTTTTAGTATTTGTTTGTGAATGTCAACTCCCAGAGGCGGATCCAGGATTTTTCGTAGGAGGGGGTGCACTACTAAGGAATGGCGTAATTGACTGGTGACGTAAACAAATTTTAATAGCGAATACGAAGAAGAAGGCTTTCGATTAGGCAATACCATAATCTGAACTGCTGAGAATACATATCAAATGATAAAGCAAATTTTGTATAACTGTGAAGCAGACTGCACAGTGTTAATTAGAAATCCGCAGGTCATTTCAGGGGGGGGGGGGGGTGCGCACCCCCTGCATCCTCCCCCTAGATCCGCCCCTGACTCCTCGTCCTGATCGGCCGTCTAAATCCTTTCTATCAGTTTTATATTTTTTTTTTAGGTCTAACTTTGGTTGACAGCTGGTCCATCGCTGTTCCAACAGAATCTTGAATATATGGAGTTAGTTTATTAATTCCATAATTTACAGGTTTCTTTTGTAGTTTTTTATTTCTCATTAAATCACTTGCTCCATATCGCCCCATTTCAACTGCTTTTTTACCCATCCAAGGTAAACCGTAATGAACAAATCCGTCAACTGCTGTGCCAACTACAGTATCAACGGGCTATTTAGTTTTTTGACTTATTTTTTGTTTTTCTCTTTTTTCCACTTCCAGTTTGAGAAACTGATCCAGTTTTTACATATCTAACTTTTTTATTTCCACAAACTGCGCATCTACAAAAGAATTGAGTTCTACCTCTTTTATCTGTTTGGTAACCACTTAGCTCTGTGCAAGGAGTTACTCTTTTATCTACAATACAATATGATTCTTTCATTTAGTATAATGTTTAGATAAATATGTCTACTAGATCTATCTAATTTTCTAAAAAGTGAACTTCAAAAGATATACAATTTTTTAAACGTGAGTTATGAATACGCTGATTTTGCTAGATTGGAAAATGACACTCGATTTATAAAAATATTTGAGTTGCTTATGGAAATAAGTGAGAAATCAAATACACTTAACAAAGTTGTAAAAGGTAATTATCTATTTATATAATAAAATGGAAGCCAAATTCTTTTCTGAGATAGAAAAAAAGATGGATGTTAAAACACTAAAAGATTTTGAGAAAGATGTACGAACACAAATAAATAATGAGTTTGAGTCTCTTAGAAAGAAAAATGATGATCTTTCTAGAGTACTAATGGCTGGTGAATGTGAGATGTGGGAAAAAATTCGAAATGAGGAATATTCTTGGTTGAATATAAATAATAATAATAATAAGAAGAAACTTTATCGTCTTATAGATATTTACTCAAAATTTGATGATATAGTTGATAGTGTTAAAGATCTAAATACAAAAGTTGATAGGGTTAAACAGCTAAAGGATACACCTGTGGATTCAGACTAAATATAAATTTCATATTTAGTCTTAAGAGAAATATTCTTTTATAAAATCACTGTTGTCATTATCAAAATGTGGGTTATGTATTACATCTAGAATACTAGTTCCACGTTGTCTCTCAAACAGATAATATAAACACCAATATCCACAGAGAACAGTATTGCGATTTTGTATTTCATCCATTGAGTACACTATACGTTTTCCAGAAGTACGAAAATACTCTAATGCTTCATTTCGCATTATCAAACCAAATGGATCAAAGTACTCAACTACATTGTCAATATTTCTATAACAAACCCAGTGTGTTCCAGGGCCAGTCATGTCATCGAGATTGATTACTCCGCATTCTTTTCTAATCTTTTTTGGTAGACCATCACGACTGTATATTCCTCTAAAATGTTTAATACCAAGTTTCTTTACCCAATCCATGAGGTCAAAGTTGGATAGAGGTTTGATTACAAAATGGTTCCGAGAATTGGAATTGAGTTGAATGGGCTGTTTTTTCCTAGAAGTAGACCTTTTCCTTTGGACTTGGACTTTTTTTTTTTAACTCCCATTCCTATTGGGTTTTCCCAAGTACCAAAAAAAAGGGTGGTGAGCGATAAGGATAACCTTCACCACGTGTTGGTGGAGGAGGATGTGGAACGTAAACATTTGCTGTATTAGATGATGAATGTCTATCAACCTGAAGTCCAGAGCCAAACATCTTAGATACTAAACTAATTGCCATTGGAATACCAATAGAAGCAAGTGTTCCCAGAAATCCCCCTTCTATCTGTTTACGAGTTGGTTTGATAACCAGTCGTCCACCTGATTGATAAATTTTGTTTATTAGGTCTATTTGTGATTTGGTTAATTCTCCTCTAAAAGCTGGCAACATTGGGAAAAACTTTTTTGGAATTGTAATTCCTTTTCCAAATATTTTATTTATTCCAAGTTCTCCAAGTGCAGTAGCAGCACCAGTTGCTAATGCAGGAACAGCTTTTGAAATTCCTTTTATTGCATATGGTAGTACTTTTGTTCCAAGAGAAGCAAGTGCTGAAAATAAGTTTCCACCATGTTTTACGGAACGTCTAATTTGTGTTTTACTTATCTTTATATCTGATCCTGTGCCATTTGCAATAGATTTTTTTATTTTGTCAATTTGTCTTTTTGTTAACATTAACTCATCAGAACCTCGAAGATATGAATGTTTTAACCGAAGAGTTAGTGGTGATTTATTTATTATTGCAGAAGCCAGTTTTGACTTTTGCCCATCTGTAAGTGTTACTCCGTATTCAATATAAGTAGTCATTTATTTATAGAATTATATTAAATCTAAGCACGAAGCAATAGTTTTCCATCTTGTTGTGATATTTCTGCTACTCTTTCATGTAAGACTAATGCGTAAATATTATAATCAGCGTTTGGATTAGCAGTTAATTCGTAATGAAATGCTAGTTTTGTAACACCATCTTTGATATCCATTTTTTTTTGTTTTGTCAGGTCAAAATAAACAAAAGGAAATAAAGATTTAAAATTACTTATATTAAGTAATGTTCCACCTTGATAATCATTATTTGCATAGACGTATGACATTACATTTCTAAAAACTCTTGACATATCTGTAGAAGGTTTAAAGTGAATAAATGGATATTCGTTTCCATTTGCAACTTCCAGGTGACAATCTCTTATATTAGCATTATTTGGTAAATTAAAAGTGTCGTATAGAAATGGATTTGCTGTTTGTTCATCAATTCTTGCTGTATCAATTCCAAAAACAAATACATGCCTTGGCTTTGAAATAGCATTTGTAATTCCAAAATGTCCTGTTTGTTGTTGTGTATTATTTGACCTTTCAACTACTTCATTCAAATATGTCCATTTGTAAGGTTTAAGATAATTTTCCATGTACAACTTTTGTCCTTCTGAATTAAACGTAAGTTTTGGAATAAAAAGTTGTAGTCTTGTTATAATAACTCTACAATCATCAGCACCTTGAAAAATTAAATTTGCATCTTTTTCAATTTCGATACTTAGCTCAATTTTTGTATTAGGAAGTAGTTTATCTTCCAATGCTTCAAAGAAAGAATATCTATTAAAAGGAATTTCACAATTTACTGTGGCTGATGCACCTAATAGTAATTTCCTTTGATGAAAACCTTTATTATAAGTTGCTTGAGCAGGTCTTTCCTCTGCAGCTGTTGATGTATCAAGAAAATAAAATTCGTTTGCAGCAACACTCTGTGCATATGAAGGATTATACTCAAGCAAATTTTTAATATTTACAACATGATTTGCATAATTACAACTATAAACTTCTCGACCATTTGCCAGGATACTTAATTTTTCTATAAAGGAGTTACTACCATTTACAATTCCGTTATGGTCGGCAGCCGCAATATTTCCTCCATCTGCCAGCTTATTTACCTTAAAATCCATTGATAATCGTGCGTTATACCAATCAAAAGGAGTAGTTTCTCCTGTGTAATCAGCAACAAATCTAAGACATGTTTTCGTTTGGTAAGCGTTATTTGCTGGGGCTGTATCTAAAGTCTGTTCCAGGTCAAATACAACATCTTCATATCTATCTAAATATTTTGGATTTCTAAATGACTTCATTTTATTTTAATAATTATATAATTTTCTCTTACGTGTTGAACCTCTACTAAGAAGGTTAATCAATCTTTGATTTAACTCTTTTTCACTTGGAATTGTTTCAACATTTTCATTAAAAGTAACTTTTGGTTTATTTTTACTTTTTGATAACATTTGCACTATCTTATCACCAGCCTTTTTGCCAACACGTTCACCGGTTTTTGTTGCAGCTGCTGTTACCGCTTTTTAGCTCCTTTTTTAACAGCTGATTTGACTGTTTTTCCAAATAATTTTGAACCAAACGATTTAAACACATCCATCATTCCTTCTCTGTAAATATGTTGTCTTGTGTATTTTCCCAGTTCTGGGTCAAATCTCATTTTAAACTCTGATTGTCGCATCATTTTATTTTAATAGTTATATTACATTGAATGGAGTATTAAAGTCATAAACCAATCAATACCATTAAAATTTACTGGTCTTCCAAGTGAGTCTGTCACATAGACTATCATTTCATCAATGTGAAATGATGATAAAGGGCAATACAATGGTCTTTTAGGTTCAAACGTAAATGGAAAAGACCTTGTTAGATTGTCTGTTGGTATCACAGCAAGAGTATTTGTATTTATTCCATTTACAATGCTATCAGTTATTGCGCTTGTGTTAATATTTAACACATCAATCGAATTTGTGATATTTGGTAGTTTTGATCCATACTCTGTTTTTGTAATAAGTTTCTTTTCAAATCCAATCAGGTCTCCAAATTCTGTTCCTCTCAGATCAAGTTGATAATCACCATCAAGTGATATAAGAATTCGATAGGTAGATAGAATAAAAGTTAGATTGATTGAATACTTTTTTTCTCCTTTGGAATCTGTTGTGTGATGATTTTTTTGAGTCATGTATTGATGAATATAATCATTAATATCAGAGTAGGAATACATTCCATCTGTAAAAGTAATTGTTTGCCAGTTGGTTCCATCATGAGTGTATTTGATTTTATTGTTTTTATAATCACTTCTAATGTTGTACCAAGAGTAAGTCATGGACAGCCGATTTAGAGCAAGTTGGTGTTTCATTTCAGGGTCAAGTTTTAGAGATGGATTAAACTTAATAGTAAAATCACCAGGTCTGCTTGTTCCTCTTATTTCCCTGTTTATTGAGGAAATGTGGATAGCTCGTTCTTCCATTTTTATCTAATTGATATATAATTTTTTAGTAAATCATTAAGTTGTTTTTTTGAGATCACTTTCATTTGGTTGAGAAGATGTGCTATTTGAGAAAACTCAGGTATCACACCATTATTCCCAGCAAGAATTGAACCATCAAGTAATTCAAGTATTTTTAGTAGTTCTTGTGGGTTGTTAAAGTAAACAATACCCTGCCCTACTTGATAGTTAATTGAGTTAAAATATCTATTCATTGTATTTCTATATTTTTTTAGTATACCTACTGATTCTTTTAATTTATTAGTTCCAGCTACATACTCTGGAGATGGATTTTTATTATTTTTTCTACCTACAATTCGTCCATCCAACTCACGTATATTTTGGTTTAAGTTTGTATGTATTTGTTCTAAATCTTGAACACCAACTTCATTAAATTCACTTGGTCTTGGATAATCATAATTTTGTAAAAAAAGAAGATCACTACCAACAAAGTTTTTTTCTAAATTACCTGATGGTCGAGGAACAGGTACCCAGTTACTATCCCAGCCTTTTCCATCATCTGGTGGAGGCATTGGCATCCAATCATCTGAGTCTGGCAATTCTTTTATATCAGCTAATCTTTCATTAGTTTCATTAATCTTAATTCCAATCCTGATGTTAATGCAAGTTGATTTTTTTTAAGTTGTGCTATAGTTGCGTCTTGCTGCTCATCAATACTTTTTTTAATGCTATCTTGAGATTTAATAAGTGGTTTAAATGTCTCTTTAAAACCTTCCCGAGCATCTTGTTTTTGCCATTTTGTTATTTTTATTACATCTCTCACCTGTTGAGTTAAAGAGTCAGCTTCAATTTTATTTCTTGCAAGTTTTTTGTATTCTTCAATATCCATTTTATCTAATGATTAAATAAAATGGAAATACCAAACTATGATAGTAGCGGTGACCCGGATAAAAAAAAATATAAACAGTTATTTCCTTACATGCCATCAGACACATTTCGGATGTTAATCTGTGGAAACAGTGGAAGTGGTAAGACTAATCTATTATATCATATGTTAATTAAACCACTGTTGTACTTCGATGAAATTTATCTTTATGCGCGTAATTTAGAGCAGGATAAATATAAACAATTAATGCAAAAAATGAGAGAACTGAGTTCTAAAGTTGGATATGAAATACTTCATGTGAGTAATGATGAAATAACCCCAGTGTCAGAAATGGGTTATGAAGACAATCAAAAACTTGTGATATTTGATGATTACGTTTGTGATAAAAACCAGAGACAACTTATTGATTATTTCATTCAAGGACGACATAAGAATTGCTCTGTAATCTACCTCAGTCAATCATTTTACAAAACTCCAAAGGATATTCGATTGAATTGTTCTCATTACTGCCTTTATGAATTTCCATCATCGAGGGAATCCAATAGGATATCATCTGAGTTGGGAGTTGACAAAGAGACATATAAAGCAGCAACAAGAAAACCATTTACATTTCTATATGTTGATAAACCCAGAAAACGTATTGCAAAAAACTTTACTGGTAATCTAGCCTAATAATTAAAATGGGTATATTTAACGAACAATCTTTTGATCATCCTTTTGCTAGAGGAATTCAGGGTGCTCCAGGAGTAGGATTTAATCTCACTTCAAGTGGGGATTATGATATGATAAATAAAAAACTAAGAAATGTTGGTGCTCCGGAATCAAACACCGATGCGGCAACCAAGAAGTATGTTGATGATAATTCTGGGGGTGGAAAAACATCATTAATAACAGTAGATTCAAACATTTATATGAAAGATACATATCGTATACTAAATCTTAAAACACCATCTGATGTAGATGAAGCAGCAACAAAGTCTTACGCTGATAATAATTTTTTAAAAACTGATGGAACAAAACCAATGACACAAGATTTAAGCCTTGGATCTTATCGCATAACTCATCTTGGTGATCCTACAGGTGATGGTGATGCAACTTCAAAAAAATACACTGACAATTTGGTTAACACCAAACTAAATGATTACATCAAAAAAGATGGCACTGGAGATTTCAACACTGGCGGCCACAAAATACTAAATCTTCGCACACCCACATCAAACAGTCAACCAGCAACAAAAAATTATACCGATAATAATTTTTTAAATCTAGATGAAACAGAAAAAATGACTGGAAATCTAGATATGGACAATAATCAAATATTAAATCTACCAACTCCAACGGGTGGAAAACAACCAACACCATTAGCTTTCACAGATATGAAGTATCTTCACGTTGCTGGAACAAATAAAATGACTAATAATCTAAACATGGATAACAAAAGTATAATTTATTTAAGACCACCAACAAATGATGCAGATGCTGCAACCAAAAAGTATGTGGATGACTCCATACCTAATACTAGTTCCTTTATAAAAAAAGATGGAAGTGTATCAATGACTAATAACCTAAATCTTGAAACCAAAAATAGTTGGTCTCGCAACTCCAGTGTCAAACACAGATGCTGCAACCAAAAAGTATGTTGATGATAATACTGGAAGTCCAGATTTGAGTGATTACTTGGAAAAAGATGGTACTGTCGCTATGACTGGAAACTTAAATCTTAACAACAATAAAATAATAATCTTAGTAAGCCAACCCAAGACAATGAAGCAGTAACCAAAGATTATGCCGATAAACTAGTTCATCACACTGCAGTTCAAGCAAGTCATTATAAAAATGAGTTTGCTTATATTATGACTAGTGGGGCTCAATGGACTGATGAATCAGATACTGATGTTAGTTTTTCGATAACTAAGATAGATGACTTACCACCAAACAAAGGTAATTTTCACGATTACAACCATAAAGTAATTTACATGAATATATTTAAAAATTGCCAAGGTCAATATAAGTATAAGATGGGAATTAATTTTTACCGACTAACTGCAAATACTGACTATACCCTTTGTCTAGAAATACTCAACACTGATTATATTCTTTGGAATAATACTCAAATAAGTATTGACAAACGAACTTCAAGAGGATTATCAATTGGAAATTTAGGTATAAGAAAACTATCCCATAGGTATACTGATTCAAAAGGGCAAACAAAAGATATGTACTACCATAGAATAATAGTCAATTTTCGGAAGTTGTCATCTGGGAATAGATTCTTTCTTCACATTCTTGTTGATATTAATAAAAGGGTAATTTTTAGATATCCGCTCATTTTTAAGGGAGTTAACGTGATTGCCTATGGTATTGTGGGTGTAGACTTAAATGTTCATATGAATTTATTCCAAGGAGATTCGGACCAAAGATTCGTTACAAGGATCTGGTTAGACTACGAAAAACAAAACGAGTGTGAATAAAAGGAAGAAAGATGAAAATACTTAGCGACAACATACTTACAGGATTTGAAGGCTCGAAGGAAACGTGAAAAGACTTTAGGCCGTGTAAACGAACAGAACTCGACTAGAACTTTACCTAAAGATTTTCGAGCGAGCACATGCCCCAGACCATAATATTACAACGACATATAAATGACGTAGTTCTTCTACCAGTCCCGCGCGGGCTAAAGACGGGAAAACTTAACAGATACAAGAAGAACGTTTTGAAACCTACAGTGGGTACAGTTAGCAATATCGATCCAGATAAAGTTTACGACTATCACACCGCATTTGATATCAAACCAACAGAAGTGGTGTATAATGTTGATATAAATGCAAATCAAAAAGAAATTAAAAATACCAAACTTGACCGACAAAATGATAATAGTGCTGCAACAGTTGCATTAGTAAAAGAATTAGCTCCTTTTACTAAAAATTCTTTGTACAGATTATTCTTTAGTGAGGTCTATGACTTTACTAATAGTTAGGAATAAATATAGGTTCATCTGGAGTTATTATTAATTCTGTAAAACCTAATATTACACTACCTCCTAATAAAGACCTAAGTGGAATAAAAAAAGATGGCTTAAATGTTAATGGTTACGATGTTACTTTTTCTCCTTCACATTCTTCGAAATCTACTTTATGTATTGTTTTTCGTCATTGGAGAAATAGGAGTTTTACCCTAACTAAATATTTATCAACAAACAATAACATACTATTAAAATTAAATTATGATAAAACAAACAATAAAGTAACTTTAACTATCAACAAAGCAACTCAAAATTTTACCATGCTAAGTGAATTTAATGGAAAAATAATTGTTTTATGGCTAACAGAAAATTTTGATGCAAATGCCACAAAAGTTAAAATAAGTAACTACAGCGCAACATTAACTATACCAGCCGTTCAATACAATGTTAATCAACGTTGGAAGTTTACTACTGAAGATGGAGTGTTAAATAAATTAATGTATTCTCCAAACTTTTACGACACCGACTCTGAGCAATATCATAAAGTAATGCTTCAAGAAAAGTTAAGTGGATCTTATATAGTATAGATATAAATGAAGGATATATTTGAATTTAATCACATTGATAAATCTCTGTCAGAATCAGACGTCACAACCCTAAAAGACTTTTATAGTCACTACCATAAGAAATACTGGTGTTTTAAGAAATCGTAAAAGAGTTAAAAATTTCTTGATGATGTTTTTACAATCTCTGGAATATGCTTGGTTGCAATTGGAACTATTTCTGGTGGAATAACCCTAAACCCTGTTGTTCTCGGAGTTGTAAATGGTGCTGGAGTTGTAGTGGCAGTAATTGGAAAAAAAAATAATTACAAGAGAAAAATTGACATGTCAAGGATTGCATTTACTACTTATGAAAAGGTACTCGTTGAACTCCGTGCAGCTCTTCGAGGTGATGAGTTTAATAAACAAGAGTTTGGTGATCGCATGAAGTTGGTAGATGAAATGATAATTGATCAAACACCTATAGCTGACAGATTTGCTAGCAGATATAGTAAAAAATTTAATATAAACATAGATTAGAATGGATCATTTTGAAAAATTTGATAAACAATTAATTAGTTCTTACGAATCAACTTTAGCTCTAGAAGGTAGAGAAATTTGTAAAGAAGTTGATTCTATACTTGAAGATGATGATGAATTGTTAGTAGAAAAAGCTAATGCTTATTGTCTTTTTTGTACAGATCCAAAAAGAGCTGATATTGATGAAAAAATTGTTGAAAAATGTAGAAAACTTTTTAAAGGATATTTCAAATTATAGATGTATTAAAAATATTTTAGAAAATATTTCAAGATCAAGAAAAAAGGTTTAAAGATTAAAATACTAATTAATATAAATATTTGAATGTGTATTTTTTCTATCTTTTTTAGATTTAGCTGTTTTCAATATTTAAATAAATATTGAAAACTAATCTAAATATTTAAATATATACTTCTTACCATTTTTTCTAGATGATAATGATTTACCTTTTTTCCTACAAACTTTAGAAATATTACCAGCACTAATGTCGAACTGAATCGCAGCTGTTTTTATAGAATTATATCTTCTTTCTTTTCCAGTTTCAATATTAATAGAAATAATTGGTCTATTTTTACTTTTTTCAATATTATGTTTATGTGAAAGTAATTGCAAATTTTTTATTCTATTATCTGATTTAATTTCATTGATGTGATCAACTTCAAAACATCGCGGAATTGGCCCTCGGAAAACCTCGTAAACAAATCTGTGTTGAGTGTAATTTTTACGTTTTTCAAGTTTTTCATCATATATATTAAAATATAAATAACCACTACCATTTTTACCATACTAATAATTTTTAGATCTTAAACTTAACACGTTTCCATTTTTAGATGCAGCATAATTAGAAAACACTGGGTGTTTATAATATTTTTTTCCATCAATTATTACTCTTTGTTTTATTCTTGAATCAATCATTTTGTAATAACCGAATTTTCTTATAGATGGGAGTACTATGGTAAAGACCCATTCATGAAATATTCTTGCACTTGGGAATCTAGATTTAAAACTAATTCGTAAAACCGGCTTCATCGACAAATAAACAATATTTTCCTCTAGTATCATTTTGTTGACCGCCCGTTTCAGGCGGGGAACAAAAAAGAAAAGTTCTTTTATGATTTTCACTTACATGTCTCTTTATAGCATGTTCTGTATTTTTGTAACCAAGTATCTGAGCAACTTGTTTTGCTTGAAACCATACATTACATTTTTCATCGATGTATGAGTTTAACGTTATTCCTAATTGATAATTAGTAAAAGATTTCTCTTGCAGTTTATTTTTAATTTTATTTCTTTAAACCAATATTAATGTTCTATTTAAATTAAATAGAAAATGATAATAAATACAACACTACTTCTTTAAACATTGATAAACTTCATATTTTTTTAAAACAAGTCTAACATCAAAATATAAATCTTCAAAAATCTCCATCTTCGGATATTTTATAAATTTAAAACTATTACATCTAGTTTCTGAATCCATATATTTAATCCAATGATTTTTTTAAACTAATATAACTATTCCACCACTTTTCATAATTCTCTAGAGTTTGTGGAGAAATCTTTAGATAAACTAGTTTGCTCTTTTCACAACCCATCTCTTCTAAGAGTTTTTTAATTAAATAAAAAATAC